TGAATACATATTCTATATATAATATACATATAATATATTCAACATAGCACTCATATATACAAAGTAGCAATACTGTCACCTGGCTAAAGGTATTAATATAACCAACGAAATACTGTGTATGCCAGAAAAGGGACGAGAGGCACAAAAGCATAAAAATGAAGATTCCTAAGAGACAGATGTGAATAGTTCCCATCCACTTTACAGAGAAGAGGGAGAATTACTCATCTGACTTTTGAGCTTTTCTCAAGCTCAGACAAGGCTACCTGTAGTACGAAGTTTAATGTGGGGAGCTGGAGGCCACAAAATAATTACAGACCCACCAGCAATTCCACTTCTATTTTTGCTCCATGCTATTAAACATTTCATTCGTCCAATTCCTCTTACCACAAATAACTTTCTAATTCCTATGTAGATTTATCCACATGGAAAGAACATGCTGACGCTGGGTGTTTCTGGCTTCTGCAACAAAGAGGCTTTTGATTATGATTTGACTTCTTAAAAAGCTGGACTGTCTGGAGAGATCTCGCTGATTCTGCAGTCTCTTGTGAAGTTTGTTTACAGCGAGTTGATTTCTCATGGACTAATGGCGTCTGCACAGGAGATAAGTCTAAGGTCTGCAAGAAGGGCTTAGTGCAGTTTGCCTTCCTGAGAAAACACTGCCATACCACTTCCAGTTTAGATGGATTCATTTTTATGATATGGTGTTTATTTTTACTAATTTACTCAAATTCAAAATGGAGTAGAACACGCAAGGCATTATGTTTGAAAAACAATACACTCTTCACATATTAAGTAACTTCCACTGATTTTGAAATCCATTCTCAAATCATTTTGTTCAAAAAAAATAATTTCTCTCTGACACAGATACATGTGTATACATACACATAGTATATAACCACATCTCCAAATATTCTAGTGCCACTGGTCACATTATTTCAAAGAAAACATGTCCTTGGTAAAGTGCTTGACTCCACATTGATTTAATTTGTAAAATTTTAGAATATGATATATTTCTCAAAGAAAAATATTCTATAAAGATTTACAACCAATTTGGACATTTTCTAATTCCATAACAACGTTCTCAAAATATCAGCTAATAAAGATATAAGATTTCAAGCCAGATTTCTTTTAAATAAGATGGATAAAGAATAAAAATTTTGTTACTAATTTATCAGAAAGTGTTGTATATTGCCATATATGATACATAATTCTAAGATGCATTTCCTCTGGATTAAATTTATCCTATAATTATCCCAACTTATTATATCTACATATATTTCCAGTATAATTAGACCTGATGATTGCAAACAGGTGAAAGGCCTCATATTAGATTTCATTTACCTGGTATAGGCTGTGCTCCAAACTTTGAAAACGTTTTTGGACAAAATTCTTCTGCAATAAGCTTAGATTAAAAGAAAAAAAAAAGTTAGAAAAGATGTTAAATTTCCAAAATAAAAAAACCTACCCACTAATCAGAATATTTTTTTCCTTTTTCAGTCATAATTATGCTGTCAAATAAACTGTACTAATTAAAACCAAGTAATCCATTCAGCAAATCTTTCTCATGCTGACTCCCAATCTTACCAATTTAATTACATTACTTCCCTAGACATGCTTGCTTCTTAAATTAATTTAATGGACCATGCAGGCCCCATACACTACTTGCCTGTTTCATATCTCAGCAATTTACCACAACTACCTATCTGGAATAACCTTTATATTCTGTGTGCATCCATATCCCTCCTTTACTTCAAAACTACTGAAGAATAACTTCATTATCAAAAGAAGCTCTCTCAGAGTAACTCTCTCAGTTGTTTTAACTTTACTCTGAATCCTCTCGGCATCTCCAATGAGTTCACACTCACAACTGTAAACATGCTATTGGATAAATACTTGAATATCCTTATATAACAAATTTCTATTTTTAGTATTACTATAAACACTCCATTACTTATTCTCCAGCATTTGTAAACATACTTTGAGAAGCAAAAATCATTTACATTTCCTGCAAGTAACTTTCTCTCCTTACTCTATTTTTGTCCCTAAGTGCAAAACCATGATACCAACAAAGAGTTAACTTAGATTAAGCTTGCTTTTTCCTTACTGGGTGGGAAAAAAAGGCAAGTGGGTTTTCTCTTTTTGCAAAAAAACTAAAGCCTGGTGGGAGAATATTCCTACAGTAACAGTGGACCAGACACTCCAATAGGCAAAAATCCATGCCCTGAGATGGTTTTCTTTCCCATTAAGGAGACTCCTACCGCAGTAGTTCTCGAAAGTCTCATACCAGCAGCATCAGCATCACCTAGAACTTATTACATATGCGAACTGTCAGGCTCCACCTCAGAATTACTGAAACAGAGACTGCGGTGGTGGAACCCAGTGATGCCTCTAGGAGATTGTGATGTGTGCTAAAGTTTGAGAGCCGCTGCACTAAAGGATGCACCTCGTATGTAAGTGGAAGTCTGGCTCAAAGGCAGCTCAGAGCAACCACGTGAATGTGTTTTCTCTTCCGAACACATGCATTTCTTCCATTTCTTTTTCTTGGAAGAAAAGAGGTGCTTACGATCTTCAGCTTGTCCTAAAACTGAACACTTTCTTCTACTATTTAAGTATGAATCTTTCTTTTCGCCTGTGTTAATGCTCATATGAACTGAGAGATGGGGCATGTAGCATCCAAGAAGATCCTGAAATCTCTGTTCTGTGCTGTCCAACATAGTCGCCACTACTCATATACATGGCTATCTGAATTAAAATTCAAAATAAATAACATATATAGAAATTCGGCTCCTCGGTCACACCAGCCACATGTCGAGTGCCCACTAACCACATGTGGCTAGTGGCTACAATACTGGGCAATGCAGATATGGAACATTTTGATCATCAGAGTGTTGCTCTATTATTGGACAGCACCTATATTCCTAATGAATCAGAACTTATCCACGATTTGTCAAGCCACAGCTAGGAAGAAGTTGCCAGGGTGTGCAAGACTGAAAACTACACCCTATCGACCTTAGGCGACAGCACTGAGAGAATTTAGGTATTAAAAATAAAAACTGTGTCAAGCATTATAGTGATACTGGAAATAATAGTGCCTATGTTGTGGTAAAGCTCACAAATTATCTCAAAGTTATACCGTTAAAAAAGCATCATAAACCTTCTCACTTGAATACTGAACAAGTCACACAGAGTAGAAAATAAAACTGAAGAACAAAAAATAAAGGTTCCCATGAAGAATGAAATCTAAGTGGTACTTAAATAGCAACAAGAAGGGTCTATGCATATACTAAACATGTAATGTCAAATACTCCATTTGTTAATAACCATCATCCACCCCCTTTTCTTTCCCTATTACAAGTGTTGTGCATTTCAGGCTATAGTATTTTCTCTTTCATTGCCGGCTAACTGAATTCCAGTACTTCCCCCTTGAGACTGAATGTCCTAACTGCTGGTATGGGCGAAAGAAACTCAGCAAGACTAAAGGAAGTCATTGTTTCTTCTCTAGTAGCTGCCAAAAAAACAACAGTAAACTGCATCACAAAACTGTCCTCACAAACGTTATTTATAACAAAGGCATCTTGTAAGACACCCACGTTTCAGAGGTTGTTGTTATGTCCTATACAAGCAGCCTGTGACCTTCAAATTTCAATTGGCTTTCTTGCTTACTGACACATTCTCCTGGTAGTAATAGTTAAATCCACATCTCTGTTTTCTGAAGAGTTTTTGTTCACATGAATTAAGCCAGAAGGATAAATGATACTTACTTCTCCTCCCACAAGCACATAAAAGTAATAAAACTATGATTTTGCCAGATATCTCATTTACAAAAGAGTTTAATAGTGATTATTCAAATAAACAAAGGCCACACTTAAACATGAGAAGTAAAATAATTCCAACTTCAGGTGATCACATTTTTATAAATAACCTATACCAATTGATTTGATATAGATTGTTTTATAAATTCTGTCAGGTTAAAATTTAATTCAACTCAATATTTATTATGCACCTATATGTGAGCAGTAGAGGAAAAATCATGAGTCAACAATCCAGTATACATACACAAAAATGATTTCCAGTCATTTCCTATCAAATAGAATACAATTATATAAATTATGTTGATAACACATTTATATTAGCATAATAAATTGATGTTGATAACATTTAATAGTGAATATTTTGAGCACTAATGTCTAATACTAGACATTAAGCACTATATGTGTGTTATCATTTAATTCTCATAACAACCTTAGGATACGTATACATTTACAATCCCATTGCTCACAGGTGAGGAAAGTGAAGCACAGAAAGGTTTAATAATTTTACAGTCAGAAATCCAAAGAACGCTGGGTATAGTGGCTCACACCTGTAATCCTAGCACTCTGGGAAGCTGAGGCGGGAGAATCACTTGAGGTCAGGAGTTCAAGACCAGCCTTGAGCAAGAGACCCCATTTCTACCAAATACAGAAAAATTAGCTGTGTGGTAGCATGTGACTGTAGTCCCAGCTACTTGGGAGGCTGAGGCAGGAGGATGGCTTGAGCCCAGGAGTTTGAGATTGCAGTGAGCTATGATGATGCCACTGTACTCTACCTCGGGCAACAGAGTGAGACTCTGTCTCAAAAAAAAAAAAAACAACAAACAAACAAACAAAAAGAGAAATCCAAAGAACACAGAGATGATGCACAACTGGAAAGAAAACAGGAAGAAAAAGTCACGTAAGAATGGAAAGAAGGCAATGCCAGTGTTGTCTGACAAGGGCACACCATTCCCCAACGTTCTGATGTACTCTCCTTAAAAACAGAGGGCATGTCCTAGGTAAGCAACGTACCCTACTGTCTAATTGTAACGGAAAACAACATACCTGAGGGGAGAGAAACTTTTCAATGCGTTTGGCTATAAAACCTTTCTCCAATATGGAGTTGACTGATGGTCTATCCCTAGGATTTCTCTTAAATAACTGAGAGAGCAAACTGCGGAGATCATAGGAATAATGCAAAGACACCGGTGGGAAAGATCCAGATATTATCTTCAGCACCAGGTTTTTCATGCTGCCAGCTTCAAACTAAAATCCAGAATATAAATCAACATATGTGAAACATATACAAACTGAAACCAGGAATATCAGCAATAAGAAACATTAACAGTTCTTTTCCT